GAGGCGGATGGGCTATAACAGCAGAAGACCGCACCGGGTACCACTCATCTCCACTGCAAATAGGAAAAAGAGGCTACAATTTGCAAGAGCTCACCAAAATTGGACAGTTGAAGACTGGAAAAATGTTGCCTGGTCTGATGAGTCTCGATTTCTGTTGAGACATTCAGATGGTAGAGTCATAATTTGGCGTAAACAGAATGAGAACATGGATCCATCATGCCTTGTTACCACTGTGCAGGCTGGTGGTGGTGGTGTAATGGTGTGGGGGATGTTTTCTTGGCACACTTTAGGCCCCCTAGTGCCAATTGGGCATCGTTTAAATGCCACGGCCTACCTGAGCATTGTTTCTGTCCATGTCCATCCCTTTATGGCCACCATGTACCCATCCTCTGATGGCTACTTCCAGCAGGATAATGCACCATGTCACAAAGCTCGAATCATTTCAAATTGGTTTCTTGAACATGACAATGAGTTCACTGTACTAAAATGGCCCCCACAGTCACCAGATTTCAACCCAATAGAGCATCTTTGGGACGTGGTGGAACGGGAGCTTCGTGCCCTGGATGTGCATCCCACAAATCTCCATCAACTGCAAAATGCTATCCTATCAATATGGGCCAACATTTCTAAAGAATGCTTTCAGCACCTTGTTGAATCAATGCCACGTAGAATTAAGGCAGTTCTGAAGGCGAAAGGGGGTCAAACACAGTATTAGTATGGTGTTCCTAATAATCCTTTAGGTGAGTGTATATCGCATTATATTTTGCAGTATATTCCCATATATTTTTGTTCCATAAGGGACTTGCAAATAATCTCAGGGCAATGCACGCAGTTTGTGCTGTTGTCAAAGCCCGACTCCGACAAGTCGAACATTTAATGTGTGGTTCCAAAAAAACACCTCATGAGAAAAACGATATCCCTCAAAAAGTACACCATCGCGCTGCGCTAAAGGACTTCCCGTATCACCTCCGTTTATAAAAGATGCGATCTAATCTTGTTTACATGAAATAAGCCTGCTCCCGAGCAAGTTTAAGCTTACGTACCTGTTACTATGACAGCAAGTTCAGGATGAGCGTCAAAAAACTTAACAATCCAACATTATGCCAAATTGGGGGGAAATCAGTACCCCATAATACACTTAGTTCGTTTCAGTAACACAAACAATAGTATGCAATACCAACACTTCACTTACTCCATGTAAGTAGAACGAACAAACTAATAATAAACGTCAAAATAAAAGCGTGGGCCCACACACACACACACATACACCAGTCAAAACAACCCGTTGCAGGCCTGTACCATTGCTGGGGAGCGTTGTGGCCTTGAAAACAGCAAATGGCCTCTTCACTCGAATGAGCCGAAATGAATCAACAGATCACCTGAAACCCTGTTTTTCAGGCAGTTGAACTCCGCGATTTTCCTCCTTGGAAGCGGCTGATCGTCCTGTAGTCTCCCTGACAGTCGGCAGAGGGGCGGCGCAGTTCTCTCCACTATGTCAGCGGGGATAAGAGTGCAGCCAGGTCCGGCCCCCGGAGCTTTAACTCAGTCACAGAAATCAGTCTTGTCCTCGAAATTAAATAAACTCAGATGACTAAACGCCAGTTAATATGAAAGATTAGACAGACTAAAAACCAGGAAATGTACTTTTTGCTTAATACTTTTATCTTTTCATTTTCATTTCATTTCAGGAGTACCCTTTACAAGGGTGTCGCCATGCAGTGAGCTGCTTGACCTTTCAGTCCTCCAAGTAGCAGAGGCATATATGGACTACGCCAGTGCTGTAGCTCCTGCAGTCATCACTATCAGGATGTCACATGAGGATTCTTTGGTGGATTCTGCCTTTGGTAAAGTTCAGTATGGAAGTGTGCTGTCATACCAGCAGCCAGCAGCAACAACATGCAACATCACTCACCATCAAGATGCCCCACCACCACCACCACCTCTGCCACTAGTTGGTTACAGCCTTGGCGCATCTGTTTGCCCATATAGCGAACATGGACAACCACACATGAGGTCACTGGCAGTAACCTTGGATATGGCTCACAAGATAGAGCATGCCACCAAAGAACAGAGTGCATCACATGCTTGGCACTCTGTCCGAAAACCCCGGGTAACAGCGTCACGTTTTAGGGAGGTTTGTCATGTGGACAGAGCTCAGCTGAACACCTACAAGGGTGAAAGAATCTACAAGGGAACTCGCCAGACAGCAAACACGAAGAGAGGCCTTGAAATGGAATCTACTGCAATTGAGGAATACTGTCTTAATTCACCCCGATGCACCTTGGCGGGGGACTCTCCTGATGGGATTATTTTTTACCCTGTTATTGGTTTTTTTACTTTTGGAGATAAGATGTCCCAATGTCATAAGTTACGTGGATTGTCCTTTCCTTAAATTTCACAATGGCACACCAGAACTGAAACAACAGCATGCGTACTATTGGCAAGTTCAAGGACAAATGCTGATCTCAGGATTGGCCTGGTGTGATTTTGTCGTTTATGCACAGGATGACATGATGATCCAGTGCATATACAAAGACATCAAACTGTTTCAGACCATTCGAGAGAAAGCTGACCATTTCTTTCTTTACTTTTACCTGCCAAGATGCCTACAGATGTAAAAAGACAAATAATCATTTAATATTGTATCAAAGTTTTTTTGTATTTACACAACATCACTGTACATAATGTTTAACACTGTATCAAAGTTATTTATATTTACATTTACATTCCTGCAGTGCAAGTGTTCAAGATATTTATACACGTTTATATTATTTATATTCGAACAAAAATATATCCAAATTCATCAATCCCCAACCAAAGTTATCTTGTCTTTAATCCTTTGCCCATGCTTTTACTAAGGGGCCATTCTGGTAATTTACAAGGAGGAAAGCAACTGTGTACAGCTGGTTGATGCTCCCTGTTATGGAAACAGGGATGACTGTGTCGAACAGCTTGTGTTCCTTCACCCTGCGGATGAGATGCTCGACGTGGACCCTCAGCCGAGCAATGGACTGTCTTCCTCACCTCATCAGCCGTCATCTGTTTCCTTTTTGACAGGAAAGCAGGTCTGTAGACTTTGCATGGCACACAGTTATCAACAAGAAAACCTTTGTCGACCATTATTGCCTTTCCGGGTTTCAACAGCGACACAATCCCAGACTGCTTAAAAAGCTCCTTGTCACTGACAGATCATGCATACAGGGATGACACAAAGGTGACCACACCATGTGGTGCCATGCCGATTAACCCCTTGAAGGTGCACTGGGATTTGTAATTGGAGAAGACTTCACTTTGAAGCCGGAGAGAGGATGGAGTTTGGCAACGCAGTTCCATGCAGTCGATTCCTAATGCCGACAGAGCCAAGAACGGTGTACAAACAATTGGCCCAGGTTGTAATAATTTGGCTAACTGTAGACTGATGAATGTTGAATCTGTGGGCCAGATTCCGCTGTGTTTGGCCAACTGAGAGGTGGATCATGAAGAGGAAGAACTCATCAATGGGCTGCAGGGACTGACCCTAAAAATAACAAGGTTTGCAATTATGTACATATAATGTGTAGGCTAAACTTTCTCTGAAAATGTAAAATTAGGTTTTGTTGTTCTATTTCTTTATTTACCCATGCACTGCCTCTTGTTTCAGCTTCACTCCTCATTGTAGGTGCCCTTGCTCTGGTCACACGAATCATGTTGTGGGATGCAGGTTCAATGAGTTTCCAGGAAGTCATTAAATGCCTGTAAGTTATGAACCTAAATGAGATGTAAGACATGTTTATTTACATACACACACACACACACACACACAGACACACACATATATATATATATATACACACACACACACACACACACGCACATTTACACACGCATACAGACATTTTAAAACCTTATATCCTCGTCAGGAGCAGCAAATTGCCCCAAACTAAATCTTTGACTGCCTGACAACTCATCCACCTGTCTCATTAGTCGGTCCACCTTTTTATGGAGATCTGATCAGTCTGATCCAGTTCATTATCAACTGCCTGTTCTGGAACTAAACAATAATCATGTTTCAGATAATGGGCATCCATTGGCACAGGACCTTCATCCACTTGAGTGTAAACCTCCCTTCTTTGCTATACCCCGGTGCGCCTTGGTTCAGCAACGGAGTAGCCGTTCCAGTGGAATAAGGTTGGTGCAGCTCCCTTTCGCAGCAAGCGACGCCCTTTAGGGGTCGATGGCTCAGTCAAATCATCACTTTTAAAGTGACGACTGCAGACCCTTGTATGAGAAGTGATGTTTAATCTGTCACGTCGAATGTTGTGAATCCACTCTCTGCGTGTTTCTTCGTCCACAGGAAAAGTGTGGAAACTCAGTATAGAGTTAAACTTTGAGGAGGCCTCGCATAACGGGACACAACAATGTTCAGCCGAACTACTGTCTTGTTGGATGATACACTAAAATGTTCATTATACACTGATTAAGAGAAGGCACAGCAGGTTAGACATTTTGAAAAATTTTGACTTTCTGCAATATTTCAGCAATCAAGAAAATGTAGTTTTATGATTTGTGACTTTGCTAATATAGCAAATGTATTATCTCATTATTCATAATAGGTAGAGCTTTTTAAATATAATGCTGGAAAATAAAAAAAGCATAACATGCAAATGTTTTATTAAACTATTTATTTTTTGATTGCATAACAAAAATAAAATGTGCCATTTTCTAGCCTTCTGATATAAACAATCTGATATTTATTATGCAATTATGGTGCAATTGCAATTTTTTTAAAGCTTAATTGGGTTTAATCACAATGCAAAAAATAGCCGACCTAGTTCTGGATATTTAATAGGATTGAAGGGAATCACCTCCCCTTTAGTATTAAATAGTGATTATATGATTTAGTATTCAAGGAGTAACATATGAGGAAGGACAGAGCAGATTCTTTCATTTGATAAGGGATTTAAACCTCATTAAAAATGCATCACACACTTTTGCAGGTGACTCAGAAAAGCATCTGATCAGAATAGACTCCCACCTCTATGGATTTGACGCATGCGCAGTGCGTCACTGAGTCGTCGGCTGTGAAGAGTGAAGAGCAGCGATCGCGCTCCAGCCCGGTAATGACAGGTATATTCACTTTTATATTTTATGCGCAAAAGAACACTGATCTATCAAAGCCTCTCGAGGTCACTTATACAGATATCATCGTTGTTATGTCTGTCACGATGACACATTTGATGGGTAAGACTGTGACTGCTGGATGAATCTACTAATATAGTGATCATCAAATGTGTAAAAGGCTGTTTTGTGCTGGATTGTTGGTTAAGAACGACACGTTTTTTAAAACATTCGTTGGTGCATCGGACATGCCAGCAGCTATTAATATATTTTCATATCTCTAATGGGGGGACTGTCGGGTACAGAGTGTCTCAGTTGTTCAGGAACATCAGATGACATGAAGAGCTTGGGATGACGTCATCTTTGACGTTTTACTGCTCTTTCATCACAGGAAAACCTACAGCTTGCTTGACACAGATGTCCTCAAACCAAATTCAAAGACATTGACAAATTGGGGTCAATTATTATTATTTGTTACTGATAATAATATAATTTGTAATGAATCAGATGTATGATATTTTGAAAGAATCCAGAATGTATGCATTTTCATTTGAGGTATATCATCCAGAGACGGTGGTTACAGTTGTCGTATCAAGAAGACTTGATGATGTAAATTTCCTCCAAGTGGAGAGACATTTATGGAGCCCAAATAGATGGCAAATGTCTGTTTCTGGAAATGCATATCCCATTCATTTTCTCCATATAGGGGAATAGGTTTTAAATAATATCTTTTAACAACAATAACAAAAGGCAGACCTACTGTGAGCTACAAGGTTGTTCAGTGGTATTTGCTTTTGTTGAAGGCTTCCACCCACATTATTTCCTTTTTTTTATATATTCATGCTCAACAGTAGAATTCCTTGTGAGAAACTAAAATACAATACTCATGATTCTGCAAAGAAATCTCCACCAATCAGATAATCAGGACAAGGAAATCAAAATAACAACACTTCAGCTCCGCCCACTTCAATTGAAGCCCTGCGAATGACGTAATTGAGTTGCTCTCCCTACGCTCTCGAAGTTCTTAAATATTTGTATATATAAATTTTATAATAAATGTCAAATATGTTGTTTCTATATAAATAATGAACATATTTAAATCAATAGGTCTATATTACTGCATCGTTTTAATCTCAATCGTCGCTGAAAATGCATCATGGGATTGTAGGTCTTTCTTGTATTTGTCTTTTTGTCTGATTTTCAAATATTTTTGTCTTTGCTACAAATCAAAGTGTGTAATGTTGTGATTTATCTCGTAGCTAGATGGTTTGGTTAATGGTCGATAATGCTTAAACCAATATTTTATTTTTAAATCCCTATGGAACAAAAATAAATAACAAAATTCAGAACCAACACCACTGAAAAAGTGGACAGGCACTGATGCTCTCTATAACTTAACGTTTTAGCTTATGTTGTTATAAAGTGATGGTATTGAAATTTTACTGACGATGGGTAAATTTGGCTTCATTTTCTGTATCTTTGCATGACATGACTTTAATTACAAAATGAGCCTAAATATTCAAATGAAACAAACTGATATTGTCAGAAGAGAGCTATGCTGAAGGGCAGCTGAGTCATTTCCTCATGGGTTTCAGCAGGTACACACTGAGTCGTGATTTAATTACAGCGCTCTGCTGGAAGCTAACAGCCTTATTCACCCTTGTGCTCCCATCACGCAAACCATCCTTTAAAAATGCTAATATCTGAACCTCAACAGAAATAACTCACACTGAAAACCACATGGTGTTTGAACATATCTAGCATATGACAGAAGATCAGAACTGTTTTTCTGCACACCAGTGTGTGGCTGTCGGCATGAAACTGAAGTTGTGATAGTCTTTTCTTCCCTATTGTAACATATATCCAAGTGAAACGGCTACTGGAACAACAACAATGACAAAAACAACATCAAAAAGTAGGACAGGACTTGATTTTGTCCATGAGGAATTGATTGGACGTTTGTGGTTTGCTATTGGTCGATCTCATGTGAGTGACAGGTTGCCCCGCCCATTATTAGTCAATTATTTATTAATTAATTTACTAAAACTACATGGTCTTGTAATTAGAGATGCACCGATCTACTGGCCAGGGTCCGGAATCGGACGATTTTCCGCATGATCGGCCCGGACCGGTAACTGGCCGGTCAGTCTCACATCTTTCCGATTCCAAGCCGGTCCGTTTTGTTGCCAGCGGCACAGGCAATAACACCAGCTGCACGTTCTTCTCTCCGTCGGCGAAGTGACACTCACCCGCCTCCTCTCAGTCGCTCGTCTCATTCGCTCCGGTTAAATAGTGCTTGTATTGCACATAATTTTACAAATTCCCGCAGATTTGTTGCTTACACCAAAAGCGTGCACACTACTGATCTATCGCTATATAAGTGGAGTGCACATAAGCCCCCTCTCAAGCAGCTTGTGAGTCGCAAGTACCAAAATGAGTGGCTTACGGTCAAATACACACAAAAGTATGTCAAAATGACTGTCTTGGCGAATATTCAGTTAAACACAGTCAGTTTGGGAGCCTAACTCAAGTTGGGTAACAGTATATTGGATCCGTTTATAAACTCTTAAAGGGATAGTTCACCCAAAAATGAAAATTATCCCATGATTTACTCACCCTCAAGTATGACTTACTTCTTTCAGACTAACACAATTTGAGTAATATTAAAAAGTACACTGGCTCTTCCAAGCTTTATAATGGTAGTGGATGGTGCTCCTGATTTTGAAGCCCAAAAAAGTGCATCCATCCATCATAAAAGTAATCCGCACGGCTCCAGGCCTTCTGAAGCAAAGCGATGGGTTTTTGTGAGAAAAATATCCATATTTAAATCTTTATAAACTAAAACAAAATGACTAGTTTCTGGCAGACGACCTACGCAAATCCACTTGCGGCAAAAGAGTAACGTCTGATCATGAACGCGGAAGTGCAGAGGAAAGAGCAAAACAGGATTTCGTTATAAGAGAAGAGGAGCTTGAGTTTGTTGCCCAGCCCGATTTGTTTGTACCACGAGATGCATCTAAGATGTAGTCGTAGGCTTACTATACTACATCCTACGTCATACATCGCGTCAGGGGTTACTCTTTTGGCTCATGTTGACTTGCGTCTACCGGAAGCTAGTTATTTTAGTTTATAAAGTTTTAAATATTGAATTTTTTTCTTACAAAAACCCATCGCTGCGCTTCAGAAGGCATTTATTACCTCCCTGGAGCCATATGGATATATTTTATGATGGATGGATGCACTTTTTTAGACTTTTTTTAGAATACCAAGCTTGGAAGAGCCTGGATATTTTTTTAATATAACTCTGATTGTGTGTCTGAAAGAAGAAAGTCATATACACCTAGGATGGTTTTGGGGGGAGTAAATCATGAAATAATTTTCATTTTTGGGTGAACTATCCCTTTAAATTGACAGCAGTCTAATATTCCTGCTGCTGTCTGTCATGTTAATTAAAGAACAAAAGACAAAGAAAATCACTCTCTGCTCTTGACCGAATAACTTTTGTAACTAACTGTAAGCATTAATCTATATTTAATTTTACAATGAAGACTATCCAGTGTTATTTTACATTTGATTACTTTAAATTCTGTAGTATTTCTTACCTGAATGGACTGTATACCCACCTGAAAAAAACTTAAAGCCGTGTTTATTTCTCTTTATTACCGGTATATTGCATTTATTTATGCTGTTGTTTGACATTTGTTAATAAGGTTTTTTTGTTAATTAGTACTGTCTTTTTACTTGTTTTTTATGAAAATAAAATTTAGCATGAAGAAAAGTAGATTTTGGTTTGTAAATGCAGCTGTCAATTATAGTTCTTTGAAAGAAAATCAGAATCTGCAAAAATTGGTATTGGTAGGTCACACTTACAAAAAAAACTGAAATCGGAATCGGTCAAGAAAATTGCAATCGGTGCATCTCTACTTATAATTTGAACGCTGTTTGTTGAGATTGGTTATTTCCTCACTGTTAATTTGAGCACAAAATGCATTTTATAAATGTCCATGTTGCATAACTAAATGACAGTGTTTCGTTTGTGTGTGGGTGCAGATGTGAAGGATGACTTCTTGCTCAGAGATCTGTGGGTCGGATTACGCTGAGCAGAGCCACGGTGCACTCAGCAGCGGTCACCAGGGTTACGGGGTGCGTTCCTACTTGCACCAGTTTTACGAGGAGTGCACCGCTTCCATCTGGGAGCGCGATGAAGATTTTCAGACACAGAGATCGCCTAATCGCTGGAGCTCTGTGCTCTGGAAGGTGAGCTTTTGTGAAGGCTGGCCATGTGCTATTTCCATGCAAAAAAGTTGCAGCTGTAAGCCCGTTTTTATGTTTGCATGAATGTAGCCAGACTTCTGACTGTCAGTATAAAATATGGTTTACTTTGCAACTTATTCTGACCATGGACTGACACTTCGGGTCTATCTAACTGAAATGTAAAGCAGCCAAACAGTTTGTTGCAGGGAAAAAACATTCAAACATTTAGACAGAAATTTCAGTTAATGAAACACAGAAGACAATATCAGAATGTGTTGCCAATCACAAACCTGGTTCTTCTTCTTCTAATGCTCTCGCTCTATCAACCAAGTGCACCCCGACAGACAGATGTCACGATCAGATAAGGCTGGGCGAAATCTAATTTTATTTTTAATAACTGTTTTAGCTTTCAACATTTATGAAAACAAGATCATTGATATTAAACGATTATTGTGCCGCATTCAGTTTTGCAATGATGCTCTCATTTTGTGTTGTGTTCTAAATCCAGCACAGTGAGCAGTGAGCACCCACATGCGCTCTCACCCCTTAATAAAAGCCTAAACACACTCTCTGCCAAGCTGTGGCATGTTCAGTTTAGCTCAAACCAAGATTATTTACTTTATTTAATTTTATATATTATTCAAGTTTAATGAATCCATGATGATGTTTTCAGTGTCAGTGAGTAATTGTGTTTAATAATGGTGATATAAATATTGACCAAAATAATCATGATTATCATACCTGCGAAATTTACCATTCTGACATTAAAATGGGCCATTTACATGATTTGTGCAAATCTGAGCTTTTATTTGGGGGGAGTATTAATGTTTATTTAGACTTTATTTAGAAATGTTAAGATAGCTTTTTTCTTTTCTTACCTCCATATGATGACTAATAAAGTCGTACTTATAAGCGCATCACTGGTTTGTGTACTGGGGTAACCGGGGTAGCTGCTGAATTTCTGAATTTTTTGCCACCTACTATTAGAACAGCAAATCTGCTGTTTTTATTCAAACCAATTAGATATAACATACTTCTCACATTTTATAAATTAACATGTTATGATTAAATTTTTTTCAGAACTTGTATTATTTAAACTTGTAAAGTTGTTTAAATTGTAGTTCTTAGTCATTTTGCTGTTAATGATGTCATGTTACCAAAAGCTACTGTACATGTAGTTCTATTGTAATATAATAATTTCCAGACACAATTTCAACTGCTGATTACTAGATTTGGTAACACTTTATTTTGATGGTCCCTTTTGAACATTCTGTTGACTATAAGTAACATTGCAACTACATGTCAACTAACTCACATTAGAGTATTAGTAGACTGTCTGCTTAATATCTGCTAACTCTTTATTGTGATGCTCCCCCATTACAGCTCATGCTGTAAATGTTAAAATAGTGGGTGCATTTTTTATTACTTGCTTTTGTGTTTTGCCTCCCTCTGCCATTTTACGCTAGTAGCGCAAGAAGCGCATATGTGACGAATGACGTCAGAGAAATGTCTCTAGGCTATAATCGATTATGGTCTATTACTGCATCGATGCAGAATCGTCCACGTACGCATCGCGATGAATCGTAGAAGGCAAGGCAAGAAAAGTTTATTTATATAGCACATTTCATACACTATGGCAATTCAAAGTGCTTTACAGAAAAGAATTAGAGAAAAAGGAATTAAAAGAGATATATGGTACAGTTATAAAATGAATTAAAAGAGTAAAACGATGATACATAGAGAAACTTACATAGAGAAACAATTATTTTTAACACCCCTACTACAGACCATAAGTAACTTTGAAAGTACATGTCAACTTATTCTAACCCTACCAGTCTACTTATAATCTACTAACACTCTAATGAGAGTTAGTAGACATGTAGTTGCAACGCTACTTATAGTCAACAGAATGTGTTAAAGGGACCATTAAAATAAAGTGAAACCCAAGATTTTTTTTAGAAAACAACTACGTAACTACTATGTAACTACGGTTCTATTTCATTCTTACTGACCGAGAGGCAGTGCTTCCCACTGAATATTATCTCTCTTGCTCATGCACAGGTCGAGTCTAATAACAACAAAGTCATCACATGACCAGGTACGTCATGGGGATCCCCTCTATTTAACCCCGTGACATCCTGCAAACTGTCTCTACAGAATCTTCTCGCGAGACTCTGAGTGACAGGGTGCTCTGCCGGTCATCCAGAACTCATAGAACCGTAGTTACATACGTAACTTTCGTTCTATTTAGTTCTTACTGACCACCAGAGGCAGTGCTTCCCACTGGATGGCTCATAACAACAAGGTCATGAGGAGGCTACTCCTAGCCTTAAGCCGAAGTTGAGGGTCCCAACAGGACTGCCGCTTCCATAGCACCAGGGGCTGCCACATTAACTCTGTAGTATCTGGAAAAGGTATCAGTGGATGACCAATTAGCCGCTTCACAAATGTCCATTAGAGGGACACCTTTTAATGCTGCCCAAGATGTTGAGATACTTCTCGTCGAATGGCATGTTATGCCGGCTGGCAATGTCAGGTTGTTGGCCTTATAAGACTGGACATTGACCTCCACCACCCAGTGTGAAAACCTCTGTTTTGACAGAGGCTGCCCTTCTCTTGGCCCACCGTAGCAGAGAAAGAGTTGGTCTGACTGTCACAGTTTCTCTGTGGCACTCAGATAGCCCCGAAGGGCTCGCACTGGGCATAATTGTTCCATTGGATTGCCATCTTGTGTGTCAGACACAGAACGATTAAGTGCTACCAACTCAATTGGTTGATTCCTAAATGATGTTGAGAGCCTTTTGGGTAGGAATGAGGGCTTAGGCCACAATGTCACCATTGTTCCATCCGCATTCCAACGCATACAGGACATATTGGTTGACAATGCATGTAGCTCCCCAACACGTTTAGCTGACGTTATTGCCAAAAGGAATCCAGTCTTTATTGAATGCCACTTCAGGTCACAATACTCCATTGGCTCAAAGGGATGTTGTGTAAGTGTTCTTAAAACCAGACTGAGGTCCCATGAGGGCACCCTAACAGTTGGAGCAGGGTGCAATCGCTGAGCACCTTTCAGAACGCGGGTGATTAGAATATGTGACCCTAGTGATTGATCATTTACCTTTACATGCTGGGCAGAAATTGCGGCCACATATACCTTTAGGGTAGAGGGAGCCCTGTTATTGTTTAGCAGGGACTGCAGAAAACATAACACCATTGGCACTGGGCAGTGGTCTGGGACCAATCTTCTTGGTGTACACCAATCAGTGAAAAGCTTCCACCTACAAGCATAGATATTCCTGGTGGAAGGTGCTCTAGAATTCAGGATTGTGTTTTGCACCTTAACATTACAAGACTTCAACAGTAATTCTGGTTCCTCAGTGGCCAAACACAGAGCTGTAGCCGACCTGGGCTTGGGTGCCAAATCTGCTCCTGCAACTGAAGGAGCAGGTCCGGCCTCCTGGGTAGGCTCCAGGGCTCCCCATTGAGAAGCCAGCATAACATTGGGAACCAAGGCCTGCCTGGCCAGTTCGGTGCCACTAGGAGCATCCTGTGGTGCCCTTGACGCATCATGTGGAGAGTTGGCAGAATTAAGAGTAGAAGATTTGGCCAGGCATGTGCTAACGCATCCTGACCCAATGGGCTGGACTTCTCTGTCCAGAAGAACCACAGGGGGCAGTGGGTCTAGGTCTCTGAGGCAAAGAGATCCACCTGTGCTCTGCCAAATCATCTGAACTACTTCTGGATTGAGTTTCCGTTCTCCTGGCGAAGGTCTGTGGCGAGACAAGTCTGCCACCACATTCGACACTACCGGTATATGCATCGCCCTGATGCTTGTGAACCGAGGGAAGGCCCATGTCAGAAGGTCTTGTGCTACTCTCATACCTCCCTTGGTTGCAGGTCAAAACCTCCACTGTATTAGCTAAAGAATCCTCTCTATGTCTCTTACTGGTGGAGACACTCACTGCTTCCACCCTTTTCCGCTTAGCCATCACTTTTCCCTGCCGAGGCGCATCTGAGGTCAAGAGTGCCTCTACTGCAGCTAGTCTGGAAGTTCTCCGCTCCCACGACATGGTGCTACAATTCATACAGGCATCATCAGTGAGGCCCTGCTTCAAATGTTCCAAGCCTAAGCAGGAGGAACAGCAGTCATGTCCATCGTCCTGGTGTAAAGTGGCCCTGCAAACAGTGCATGTCAGGCTAAGCTGTTCCATACTGCCACAGCAGTGCTTTACTGAAGCCCGAGCGAGAACACTCTGGGTGCCACAAAAATTCTATAATAGTAAGATACCGAAAGAAAGTAAATTTGTTTTTACAGCCAAACTAGTGCTAATACTTTAGCCCACTGTTGATAGAAGTACCAGGTAGTAGTACAGAAAACAGAGCAAAAACAGTCGTATATAATGCAACTGCAAGAAATATTATATAAATATATGCCTATATTAAAGAAAACCAAACAAAAAACAATTAAATTGTCATGTACAAAGCTACATGTGTAAGGCTATGTAATCTATAAAAATATTACTTACCTAAATTGAATGCTCAATATGAATGCAACCTGCACTGCAGTGCACGCCGCCGGTCTGTAACGAAAAAGATATATTGTTGTTCCTGAAGCGCACACACTCTTACTGTTTGTGATAATTAATCACTATATGGCTTTTCTATGGAGCGAAACCACTCTGAAATGCCATTTATACACGTTTCATAATAGAAACAATATCCGGTGCTTATGTAAGCAACTTCAAACTTCTCTGGCAGCGACCGGAATAAACAGACGTGTTCCAACAAAATAAAGTTTGTCTTCAATCCGCCGCAGCTTCTGGAGGACGCACAATGCGCGGCTCTAACAAAAATTATTGTTACGAGGCTGTGAAAGACGGAATTCAAGTATTCTGAATGAAAGTTTTTCCTTCGACCTGCAATCTTTGCACGTATGCGCGACGATTATAGGGACAGTTTGCAGGATGTCACAGGGTTAAATGGAGGGGATCCCCAGTACCTGGTCATGTGATGATGTTATTAGACTCGACCTGTGCATGAGCAAGAGAGATAATATTCAGCCTCTGGCGGTCAGTAAGAACGAAATAGAACCCCCTCCATCACCTTTTCAGCCGGTCCAAAGCAGCCTCATGATCAGATTAGAACTGCATTTATTGGTCACACTTTATATTAGGTGGACTTAACTACTATGTACTAACATTAAATACCCACAATACTATGTATTTACTGTGAAATTACAATTACATTATTTATTGCTAATGAGTTTGAGTTATTGAGGTTTTGAGGTAATGGTTGGGTCATTGTTAGGGGTAAAGTTAACAGTGTAACTACAAATGTTAATTAAATGCAATTACTTTTTACGTACATGTTGGTGCATTGCAGTGGTGGCTGGTGAATCATTTTCTAGGTGGGGCTGTGGCATATCAAACAATTTCAGCAAGCGTTGCAGGTTGCAGTATGATTTATTGCAAAACAGGCAAAGTTCAAGAACATCTCCTTGACCTTGACACCTGGTTATTCATAAAATCAGCTATGATGAGTTAATTTACCAGTTTCAATTAAATTGTGGATACCTCCATGACCGATTTAAACAAATGAAACAGAGGACAACTATGTACAAGAAAAATCAGTAACATTTTACAATAAGGTTTCATTAACATTAGTAAACTACTTTAGTCAACACGAACTAAGAATAAACAATACTCCTACAGCATGCATTAATGTTAGTTAATGTTAATTTCAACATTAATGCACTGTGAAGTAACATGAAAAAACAATGAACAACTGCATTTGTATTAACTAACATTAAGAAATATTAATTAATACTGTAACAAATGTATTGCTCATTGTTAGTTCATGTTAGTTAATACATTATCAAATGTTAACAAATGAGGCCTTATTCTGTAAAGTGTTACCAAAAAAATCAATGTGGTCGAAAAACCTGCATGTTGGTCTGGGCCCAGCTCTTTTATCTTTAGTGTTTCTGCCAAAGCTCTCTTCTCAAACAGACATTGGAGTAGAGATTTTACAGAGTTAGGTTTGATGACTGCGTCCGCCTTTGTTATAGTTCAAATTTCACAGCTGAAATTGAGATGTGCAGATGGGACATATGGAGAAAGTATATATTTTGATGATTAGATGATTTTCTACCATATCACATCATATAAATATCAATTTAAATAATATATAATAATAAAAATAATTTTGTGTGTGATGTTCAGGGAGGGCGGCGCCCTATTTAGGCAAGCCGCCACTGGTGGATTTGTAATTACTTTTAAAGTAAATTGTATCAAATGTTAAGTACATAGTAGTTAAAGGGATAGTTCACCCAAAAATGAAAATTAGCCCACGATTTACTCACCCTGAAGCCATCCTAGTTGTATATGACATTCTTCTTTCAGACGAATACAATCGGAGTTATATAAAAAAATGTCTTGGCTCTTCCAAGCTTTATAATGGGAGTCAATGGGTATATTTTTTTGGAAGTCCATCAAGTGGATCCATCCATGATAAAAGTGCTCGAAACGTGTCTGGGTGGTTAATAAAGGTCTTCTGAAGTGAAGCGATGCGTTTGTGTAAGAAAATATCCATATTTAAAACTTTATCGACTAAAATATCTAGCTTCCGGCAAACAGCCTACGCAAGTCGACTTGCGTCAAAAGAGTAACACTTGACGATGTATGTGTATGACATATGATGTAGGAATAGAGTAAGCTTTGACTCCTCTCGCGGTTCAAACAAACAGGGCTGGACAACCGCGTTCGTCATTACGTTGTGCGTCAAGTTCAAGGGTTACTCTTTAGTCAACTTGCGTACGGCCATCTGGCGGAAGCTAGATATTGTAGTCGATAAAGTTTTAAATATGGATATTTTTCTTACACGAACACATCGCTTCACTTCAGAAGACCTTTATTAACCCGCCATAGACGTTTCAAGCACTGTTATCATGGATGGATGCGCTTTGATGGACTTCCAAAAAAATATACACATTGACTCCCATTATAATGCTTGGATACAAATAACTCTGATTGTATTCGTCTGAAAGAAGAATGTCATATACACCTAGGATGGCTTCAGGGTGAGTCAGTGAATCATGGGCTAATTTTCATTTTTGGGTGAACTATCCCTTTAAGGCCACCTAATATGAAGTGTGACCCCAGTTTTCTTCTAGTTCTGTCTTTTTATGTGTGCAGTCATCAGACGGTCAGTTTGAGGTTGAATCATAAATGAACCTATGCAGCAGATGCCAGTACTGTCATCCTGCTAAAGCCACTGCTGTTGAATAGACTAATTTGGTTGTTCTGTTACTCTTTGTCAGGTCTGTCTCGCGCTAGGAGCTCTGATTCTGGTAGCGGGGTTATCTGTGCTGCTGGTGGGCTACGCCACGCCGCCTCGACTCGAGGCATTCGGAGAAGATGAGCTGCTCTTCGTGGATGGACGCGCCGTGCGCTTTAACCGGGCACTGGATGCCTGTAAGCTGGCCGGAGCGGTGCTGTTCTGCGTGGGTGGTAGCGGGATGGCGGTGGGGCTACTTCTGGCTGCCTGCTCTCAGGGCAGTTCGAAGGAAGAGCTCCATCTGCAGCAGCGCTTCAAAGAGCGGCTTGCCGAGATCCAGGCCTCCGTTCAGCCCGTCACTCGCGCACCCACCCCGGGGGAGGGCAAGGTGCCCGTGACGCTCTCCAAGGTTCAGAGCGTCCAACCCGGGGCAGAAACCTGACCTCAGCCCTCACCACAGTTAAACGTCAGCAAAACGAGATTCCAATGGTTTCGTGCAAAACAACAGTTCCAGGAACAGTAGAGATAGATAACACTGCACTTTCTCCGGCGCAAATCATTCGTCTATATCGACCAAGAGTACAGAGAGTATTTGGTGTTTAACGTAAGCGTACCCCTGTAAATCATCATGCCACAAACGTGGTGCTCCTGAATAGACAAACAGCACAAATATACTTGCGTGCTATGCTGATAACAACGGCTAGGAATCAGAACACCTTTAGGCAGCTGTTCCAAAGAGCAACATATTCTTCAGAGGTGTCTAAGCATGTGCATATTAATACCGAATAAGTAAGAATGGTTTCTCTATTACACTCAAATCTTGCAGTGATCCTCGCAGTCTTCGCTACTTCACAGCCTCTCGCTTTAATCACAATTTCCATTGTGATATATGAGATGGAGCTAGTCAGAGTCACTCATAAACAAGCAGAAAGAAGGCTGTGCGTGTTACTGGCTAATTTATCATCGCTGCCAACGGAAACTACAATGATTTGTTATTGCTCATTCAAAAACCTTCACGTTGGCTCATTGCCAACACCTAAGGTGCAATTTTTCTCCAAATCTCTCCAAGCGAACGCTTCATGCTCTATTGCTACAGTCAATCAATAGTTAGTTGACAGAACGCAATGCGTTCCAGACAGCTGAAGCCACAATTTCACATCATGCGGCAGCATCTCAATACCACGCATCCATCTACTCAAATACATCATTGCTTGCGATATCAAGGGGCGAAAATAGATTAACGTCAAGATACGCCTGTGGGATTATGTAATATCCTCTCATTGCGTAGCACATCATTCTTGCTTCAGCCTCTGTTTTCTCAAGAGGACATTAAGCGCCGTCTCTGTCTGTTGGTAATTACACTCATTGGAGCGGAGCCCATTAGGACTTTCCATGCGCTTCTGCTAATGTTCTGGAGAAAACGCCACACTTTCTTTCCGTCTGGTTTTCTTTTGTGTGTTGCTGTTTGAACTCATGGTAGCGTGACTGCTGTTGCAAAGTTTCATTTCACTGTTTGTGACACTCATTCCTAAAAACACGATTACTTTGTGCAGGTATTTCTTTTTTTTTATTGTCATATTATTCACTTTGATTAAACATTGCAAACTACTTTCAAGAAGGTTGATAAGAATGAAAAACAATAGCCGCTTTTGTGAGTGTAATCCTTTGTTATTTACTGATTATTATGACTGATCGCTGAACATATTGCATATGCATTCAGATATTTGAAAATGACAAGGCTAATGAACACATTAATCACAGGATATTTAACAATCTAATCTCTCAGACAGGCCTAAATCAAGTTGAAATATAACATTTTTAATATAAGCTGCTTCAAGAATTGATACTTCTTGTTTAAAATGACACTGTATGTGAAATTGTGACTTTGCAGAGGTGTGTAGATTACAATGCTGGTTATTATCTCAAACTATCAAAGCTTCTTGTTTGGTTTGTGCCGTCTTCTATTTGGAAGGAGAAGGTATCGGAGCTGTTCTTACTCTTGGAACATGTCTTTTGCAGCAAACAGAATAAAAATAACTGTTTGTTACCGTCAATGTCTGTTTTTCTTGTTTGCTCTGAATTTGCACATTGAAATGATCATTGAAGAGATGGCAATTAATCACAGTACATAAAAAAGTTCCCATTATTCATTTTATGCATTCATTAATTGCATACTACTGACTATAGCTTTATTGTCATAATAGTATAAAAAGTGTGGTCATGTTAGGTAAGTTTTAACGTAATTCTGCGGGCAAAAAGATCAATCAATTCCAGATTCCATGGTTTCCTATTAAAATTACTATAGATTCTAACATTTTCCTGTACGAAATTATTTATTTTTTTAAATTGTGGGTTTCAAACCTCAGATACAACTTATTCTATAACCTTCAAGTGTCACCTTAGAGTTCCTATCGTTCTTTATGCCAGCAATAGTTTCCCTACCTTTCCAAATGATATATTGCTTTCCACCAGCTCCCTCTCAATCTGGGAGCATCTTGCAATGCTGCTTTGCTTTCATTATTTAAATTTTCCCTTCCTTATTTTTTTATCCTGTAGAAATCTGAGAGGTTACCCTCTTTGGAATGCATACCTTTTCTTTGTTAACAACACCTTAAAGGGTTAGTTCCACCAAATTGTTTAAACTCTTTCATAATTTACTCACCCTCATGTCGTTTGAAACTCGTAAGACTTCCGTTCATCTTCGGAACACAAATGAAGATATTATTTATAAAATCTGAGCCAGTTCTGTACTCTTCGCTACGCAACTACCAGCCTTAAGCTTCAAAAAGTTAATAAAGAGATTGTAAAACTAATCCATATCAATCGAGCGGATTAGTCCACATTTTCTGAAGAGACTCGATTAAATGTTAAATGTGAAGTTAAATTCAGTCAAATTATTTAATTCGACTGAATTTAACTGACTAAATTTTTAGGCTTTTATCCACATATAAACATTGATCAGCGAACATAAACAGAAGCTCAACCAAACCTGCTTGACACACGAAAACAAATCTCATTGGTTATGAGAAAAACCTGTCATCATTTACTCACACTCAAGATGTTCCAAACCTGCATGAATTTCTTCTGCTGAACACAAAATATATTTTGAAGAATTATCGGTAACCAAACAGTCTATGGAAGTCAATGGGGTCCATCAACTGTTTGGTTATCCATATTCTTCAAAATATATTCTTTTGTGTTCAGCAGAAGAAATAAATTCATGCATGTTTGGAACAGTTTAAGGGTGAGTAAACATTTTTGTGTGAACTATCCCTTTAATAAATTACTTGTTGCTAAACGGTATGCAATTCATTTTAAAAGTATATTGTATGATGGAGAAAATGTTGTTTTACTGTAACTATAAAGCTCTTTCTGGTTACGCTATGTTAGCCACTTGACAGAATAGTCTTGTCTTCAATGGTACATAAATATTACTCACAGTAAATCAAGAAAACAAGATATTCAAACAGTAAGACTAACCGTGCTGAGCTATATATATAACAATGATTATTTTTCTGTCGATGAGGTATCTAAACAGTTGCTCACCTTTCTAATAAAACAACATATTAAAGCGTCTGTGATGTTTTCATGGTTTCTACAAAAGTAAAACCAGAAATATAGGGAAACACGAATATGATGTCACTGACAAGCGACACAATGAGGAGGGATGTTACAGTGGTTAAAATAGCTTTTTTCTCTGGATTTAAACATTGTTAGAAACATTTGGGATAATGTAAGTACCCAAGTCAACAAACTGTATAACACTGTGCTAGTGGTTTTTGGATATTTAACGAAATCTTACATATTGTGCCTTTAAGCTGTGTTCTCAGCAAGTTTGTTTCCTGTTGTGCTTTTGATCAGTTCAGTCGAGGGAGAGCAACTGGGCAATCCGACACGGCCGCCTCGCCGGCACAAGTTATTTGATATATGTCAGCATGACATTAGAGCAAGTCAGATCACGGCTGCATCCAAAAACCTAGGCAGCTGAGCTTGTTGCCTCGCTGCCCTGTCAGGCAATGACTTAGCAGGCGGTATTTGTGCATGAAAACACCTCACGAAACTGATTTCAGACGGACTTCTGAGGCAGCGTAACAATTTAATGATCGATAACAAAACAGAGAGAGCTTTGGTGACAACAAATTGAATATTTAATTACTACAATACTAACTTCTCGCTAGAAATGTCATCAAAAGTGGGACAAGTTGGTAAAAATGTACATCTTACACACAAACTGACCACAAACTTCAAATTTCAGACGCCATCTTTATTTTTTCAGCTCAACAGTCAGGGAATGGAAAGCACAGGATTGTGGGATATCAAAGGCAGCAAAGGATTCATCTATGCTGCCTTCAAAAATCAATCAGATGAAGGTTTCTCAGGAGACAGGATGTGGCACGATCATTGGATTCGGACTTGTCTTGTTACCTTCCTACCTCCGTATCCTGCCTGCGGAGGGAGCATTTTTAGTTTTCGAATGCAGCCCACTTTTCTAACCTGTATGCGTCTTTCGGTGATCCCATGTGATTGGTTCTGCACAGCTTTTGCTCATCTCAAACAAGCCTATTGAATCATTGGCTGCATCCCAAAACTGATAAATGCTGACTTCGGAGGACGCATTCCAAGGTGGGAATGCATCAAGGCACATCCGAATGCAATGTTAGTTTCACTTCCTGTCTCCTGAAATACCTTCATCTGATCAATTTTATAAGGCAGCATAGATGTATCCATCGCTGCCTTTGATATCCCACAATCCTGTGCTTTCCATTCTGTGAAAGTTAAGCTAGAAAAATAAGGATGGCACAACTATCCCAGCAAGCGGCATGACGTATCTTTACATTCTCTATTCTGAGGAACAAAGTCATGGATTGTGAGATATAAAGTCACAATTATGAGTTTATATCCTGCAATTGTGAGATAAAAAGTAATTTATTATTCAATTCAATTCAATTCAAATTTATTTGTATAGCGCTTTTCACAATACATATTGTTTCAAAGCAGCTTTACAGAAAGTGCATTTCAGAAATGTACATAGAAGAATATAGTTAGTTAATCATCATGTATTAATTTAGGGCATAACATATCGCCGGCGTTGAGTCGTCTCTTCACAGGCGTCGAGTCGTCTCATCGCAGGCGTTGGGGCATCAGAAGTCTCCGTGAGAGGCTGGATACAAACTGGAGCTGACGAACGCTATTTACCTCGGGACTAGCGTCCCGAGATAACAGCAGACAAGCAGATGGGAAATAATTAGCGTAGCTGCTGTTCATAATATTAATGCATTCGATCTGATTCAACAGTGGTATAAAAGGTAAGCATTATGTGAATGCTTGGCTGAAGAGATGCGTCTTTAATCTAGTTTTGAACTGGGAGAGCGAGTCTGAGCAACGAACAATATCAGGAAGGCAATTCCAGAGTTTAGGAGCTAAATGTGAGAACGCCCTCCCTCCTTTAGTGGACTTAGATATCCTAGGAATGACCAGAAGCCTCGAATTTAGGGATCTTAAAGAACGCGATGGATTGTAGGGCGATAGAAGGTCCATTAAATACACAGGAGCTAAACCATTTAGGGCTTTATAGGTCAGTAGTAGTACTTTGTAATTGATACGGAACTTAATAGGTAACCAGTGCAGAGATGATAAAATCGGTGTTATATGATCATATTTTCTTGACCTAGTAAGAACTCTAGCGGCTGCATTTTGCACTAACTGTAGCTTGTTTATTGAGGATGCAGGACAACCAGCTAATAAAGCATTACAGTAATCTAGTCTCGAGGTCATGAATGCATGAACTAACTTTTCTGCATCAGAAATAGATAGCATGTTACGTAATTTAGCAATGTTTCTAAGGTGGAAAAAGGCTGTTCTTGTAACATATGAAATATGATTTTCGAAAGACAAGTTGCGGTCTAGTATAACACCCAGGTCTTTTACTGTAGTGGATAAGGTAACAGGACATCCTTCTAAATTAAAGTTGTATTGTAAGAGATTTTGTGGGTAGTTTTTTGGACCAATAAGTAATACCTCCGTTTTATCTGGATTTAATAGCAGGAAATTACACGTCATCCAGCATTTTTTATCTTTAAGACATTCTGTCAATTTAGATAGGTTAGTGTTTTCATCTGGTCGTGATGAAATATATAATTGAGTGTCATCAGCATAGCAGTGAAAATTAATTCCATGTTTTCTTATAATATTACCAAGTGGCAGCATATATTTTGAGAATAGCAGAGGGCCTAACACCGATCCTTGCGGCACTCCATAGTCTACTGATGTTATCTTCGATTTTTCCCCATTTAAACAGACAAAATGGTAACGGTCTGATAAGTACGATCTGAACCAGCTTAATGCCTGTCCCTGAACACCAGTGTAGTTTTGTAGTCGATCCAAGAGTATTTTGTGATCTATAGTGTCGAACGCAGCACTAAGATCGAGTAGAACTAGAACTATTATGTGGTGGAAACAAGCTTCCATAGTATGAACTATGTTATAGTGAGTGATATCTCGCTGTTTTCCGGTGTGTGAGTGAGTCAGTGGGCTAGGAATAGATGTTGATTTCAGTGAGTCATGCTAAAGATCTGCTGCTGTCTCTCAGATGAAGAGATGACTCACTCACACTGTTCACCTAAGCAGCAGAAATGCAGCACAATCTACAAGAATTCTTGTCAGCTGTATGTGTGTCTGTGGAAGGTATCGCATATGTTGAGATGATTGTTATGATTTAGCCGTGGTCAAAAGACAATATAAAAGTCCACCAAAGCAGTTTGTTTAACACTGACTACGTTTACAAGCAGCCAATAACCCGTTCAAAACCGGAATATTAGCAATAACCCCGTCGCGCACGGCCATGTAAACACCGGCAAAAACCTGCCGTCTGGCGCATACAAAAACCCGCGTGCAGTATACCGGAAGAAAACAAGAAGTGGAGGTAAACATGGCGAGACGCAGCACAGCACCATAATTTTGGACCAGTACCAAAGTATCAGCACCAAAGCGCAAACAAAGGTGATCGCTATCTGCCCCGAACTATTCATTATCCGCGCGCTGCTGCTGTTGTTGT